TCCAGGCCCTCCGCTGCTCCATGCTCCAGGCCCTCCGCAGCTCCATGCTCCAGGCTTTCCGCAGTTCCAGGCTTTACACAGCTCTATGCTCCAGGCTCTCCGCAGTTCCAGGCCCTCTGCAGCTCCATGCTCCAGACCCTCCATCTCTCCCCCAATTCCGCCTCCGGAATACTCTTTTAAAGAAAGGGGTACTGTCACGATCACCAGCGATCCATTCCTGACAGTTAATACCAGGTTTGGCATGCTGTCCCGGGAGAGAACCCTGAGCTTAGACATACTTGAGCCCAAGGCTCCCAACCAGGTCAATAAGCATATAAGGGGATCAGGGATCAGGTAGGTCTCGAGAGCTCCCCTTAGAAAAGGGAGGTAAAGGAGAAGATGCGGTGGAAGGGGGGATTCTTCCAAAATACCTTTGGATCACTTTGATTGGATTAATACTTTAAGTATGAGCAGATGAGCAGCCAGTCATGCTCAAACATACCACGTGCTCCTCTCGAAATTAGTTTATAAAACTTCACGTATAGTGACATTTTAAAATACTAATTTGTGTAGGATTAGCATGTTGGATGGCTATCATTACCACACTTTTTAATGCAACTAAAATACTTTCTACATTTTTATTAAAGTGCTTTCTTTCATTCATTTTCTTGTAGGCTTAGTCCCTTTATTAATCCGGGGTCGCCACAGTGGAATGAACCGCCAACTTATCCAGCACATGCTTTTACGCAGCGGATGCCCTTCCAGCTGCAACCTATCTCTGTGAAACAGCCATACACACTCATTCACTCCGGACAATTAAGCTTACCCAATTCACCTGTACTGCATGTCTTTTGACTGTTGGGGAAACCAGAGAACCTGTGGAAAACCCATGCGCAGGGAGAACATGCAAACTCCACATAGAAATGCCAACTGACCCAGCCGAGGACGAACCAGCGACTTTCTTGATGTGAGGCGACAGCACTAATTACTGCGCCACTTTGTCGCCTAATAAAGTGCTTATCACGCTATTTTTTTTGTTTATTTACAAATGTACATTTAAACTGTGTGTTATGAGAAATGTTATGAGATTAAAATTTTAAAAATATGAAAAAAAAAAATACTTATTTTTAAATGCTAATTTATTATCAATGGTCAAAACCAAACAAACAACACAAAAAAATTTAGGAAACTGATAAAACTTGTTTTAAGATAAAAAAACTGTAGCCTATAGGCAAATAATAATCTGGGGTGCTTTTCCCAAACAACGACGTAACTCGTGGCTAAACTATCATACGATGCATCGTTAGGGAAAAGAACAATGTAGTGACGAGTACCCGTATTTGCTGTCGCAGATCCATCATTTTAACCATGTTAGTTATAATTTAAACATTCATAATGAGACCATTCATAATGACACCGGGGTGGAGTAACAACTTCTTTAGAGAAGAACCCTATAATTTCTTAGTGCAAATTATATTGTTTTACAAGCACTTGCATAAAAAAGAAATAATCCAATATTAGTTTTAGTAAAAGCATGCACTTGTTTTCCATATTAATTAAAATATATGTAAAACAGCACATATAGTGCCTATGTTTCCTTTACAAATATTTATGAGAACACTACATATTATACACTGTCAAAAAATTCAGTAAAATTTACGGAAAAATACTGGCAGCTATGGTTGCCAGAAGTTTTTTGTAAAAAATGCAGAATTTTTCTGTAAAATTCTTTTTACAGAAATATTTTGTATTTTTTACAAGAGAAAAAATGTATTCACTAACTGGTGCGATGATAATTTACAAATCTTTGAGATGCTACTATTCTCGACAATGGTGACACAAAAAGGTTTTAAAGCATTTTGCTGTTGTTTTTCTTGATTTTACAAAAAAAAAAAAAAAGGCACCTGTGGTTGCCAGTAATCTGCTGTTTTTAACATTTTACATTAACAAATTCAATCTACAGAATATTTCTGTTAAAATTACATTTACAGTCTGCATTTTTTCGTCAAACACATTTCACCCTTTAAATCGCAGAGCAAAATTTTCAGTAGGGTGCTGAATACTGAGTGTTGAACACTAGGCAGTGGTAAAGTTAATAATTAAGTGTCTAATTAAAGGAAGACTGAGAATTATTGATTAACAACTGCTAACAAGCAGAATCGCTGAAGAAAAGAAAAACAAGACCAAATAAAATTACAGCTAAAACCAAAGATGAAATCAACAAAAAATTTAACTCTAAATATCAGTAATAATTAATTAAAATCATTGCACAATAAAGATGTAATTTCTCAAGATCTCAGCAGAGGATCATTAAACAATTTTATAAATATCAGCAGCTTCACTTATTACTGATCTTTGACTTTCTGTCACATGAACAAAAGCTCTTAATAAAAAAATTGTATTGTTCATTTGAAGTCACAATGATGTTCATGTTGTCTTGTTTAAAATCTAGTTTTTATTTTGATTGCTATAATTAATTGTGTTGAGAGTTGATCACACTATTTGTATAGCATGAAAAGCCAAAAGAAAATATAAGAATTAGTCTGATGAGATCAACTATGATATCAAAGCCCCCCTTGCGTTCTTGTGTACTTGTTGAGTATACTAAAAGATAAAATCACTTAAAAAAGCTAACACGTATTTTAATATCACCTATAATTCATATAAAATAATATATAAAGAGGCTATTTATTAAGAAATTAAATGTATTATTCATTTATTAAATGAATAAAAATCATACTTTATTAATAATAATAGTTTTAATAATGAGTATTATTATTATTATTATGTAGGATATAGTTTATTTATTTATTTTTTAAGTTTACTTGAACAATTTAACACATTCAAACCACTACAGGAATCTTCTCATCAACAGGCCCATGTCATATACAGTTCAGTTACTTAATAAATAACCCACTATAAATGAAAAGCATTTACATATGCTGTTTTTTTTTCAAAAGCTTTGGAGCCGTGACATCAATTCCGTTTTTAAATAATAGGTCACTTATAGCTTTCATCTTGAGCCTGTGAAAACTGAACTGTGAAAATATTTTAAAAACAAATTACACCTAAAAGTCATGACTTTAATGTTTTTCTTTTTAAATCATTCCAAGTTTAAATGTTAAAATTTTCTAAATAAATAGAGCATGGGGGGATAACTGGGAATAGAACACAGCCAGGAATAATGCTTCTAACTACAGCTCTGGTGTAGTTGATGGGTTTGGGAAACGCCAAATCAACAAACAGTGTTTGTAATCACATAGTTAGCTAACGATGGTTTTCGGAAACTCACCCCTGGTCTGCTCATTTCTTCGGTCAGAATTTGTCCATTAAAATAATAAAAGCCTTCTTTTATTGGTTATTCTTCTCAAAGCCTTCTTTTATGGGTTATCTTCACAATTTATGATGGCATACTGTCATAAATAGGACAAATTAGCCAATATAGTGGCCAAATTCTGGACTTTGTCAGAAACCACCAAAACCCCCCTGGCTACAGGCCTGGACACAATTTCATTCAAAATAAAGGATAGTAAAAAATTTTTAAAAATAGTTCAAAATGAAAAACAAACAGACAGACTAGGTGAAGGGTGAACTCATGTACACAACATTTAAAGAATTCCGAAAACTTAACAGACATTACAAATTTAACACATTTTAACTGATGGACAAAAACTTAATTAAAACCCTACTCACTGATGAGGCCCTTTCATTTCCCTACATCTTTCTTTGTCGTGCCTGACATGTTTTGTAAAAAAAAAAGTGTCTCACTATCTTTCAAAATCGTTAAAAAAACAATCCAACGGACCATTTGCATTTTCAGACATTCCTGCACTAGAATGGTACCCACACCCACGTAAATTACGCTGGTCCAATCCTTTCAAAAAAACATGTTATTAAAACATTTAAATATGTCTGTGCCAATATCCTAGTGGTTAAGTGCACAGATAGCACCATGGTGCTCAGGGTGATCTGAGTTCGATTCCCGGCTCGAGGTCCTATGCCCATCCTTAACCTCTCTCTTCTCCCAATGCTTTCCTGTTTGTCCTGAACTATCCTATCTCAATGAAAGCTGAAAAACCCCTTAAAAAAAAAAAAAAAAAAAAAACATTTAATATGACACGCAATAGGGTATATGCCGAGCTAATGCTGTTCCCATGCTGATACACTTCCGGTGACATGTTATTGTGAACTTTTTCCCATTTTATACGGTTCATTATACAGCATCGATGTCGTAATGTCATTAAAATACATTCAGTTAAATAAACTTTAGCATTTATTTATTTGCTCAAGCGTAAAACGAGACAAAAAGCTGTTTACTCACACGCGCCTGTCAGAATCAGCAAGCTAACGCAGAACCTCCATTAAACATACTGGGGTAAAATAAATGCTCATATTATAAAGAGATGGCGGGGGAAATGTAATTTAATGCAGTGCTTCTTGTACAATCTGAGACCCACTTTAAATCGGATATCACTCAGCTAGTGGAGATTGCTGATTTTTAAAAAATACAGACCTTAAACGCACCGGATTTTGCATTGGAATTCAATTCGCCGGAAGCGCTTAACCCAGGTTAATGGCAAATTAAAAGACCTATTAGCATGCTTCGGCATATACCCCATTGCAATTTACTTTTAAAAAGTACTAATAGAACACCAAAAGCCTTATTTGTGTACATTAATTCAGCAATTAAAATAACACTTTTGATGAAAGCACAACCCATTTTATGCAATTACATTGTTTTATACTTAAATGTTGTAAATATATACTTCACGTCTAAATCTGCACGCTATATGCAAATTCATTCATACGTAAGCGTTAACAAATCCTTTGTTTTTCCCCTTTTCTTTTTGTATTTAGGTCAGCAGTAAGTATAACTTAAAAACGTACACATTATTAAACATTACACAACACTTTACGCAACAATCATGCATTTTAAAGCTGTTTCGTTTAAAATAAATAAATACAAATAATTTGTTTTGCGTTTGATGTTGACCCGGAAACACAATCGCTGCTGTCTGAAGATTGCTTCCGGTTCATTCGTTCTGCATGTTGCTGTTCAGTCAAGCCTATAATACTTTTACTTTTCTACGTTTAATACATTTGTTATAAAGATGTCCCGGGGCTCTAGCGCGGGGTTTGATCGTCACATCACTATCTTTTCTCCGGAGGGAAGACTGTATCAAGTAGGTGAGTACGGCTGACTTTACAGGACTTAAATAACACCTAGTAAGTGCACAGTCATGTTGACTACAGTAAGCTCCTATTCACTGTCCGATACTTAAGCTTTTATTGTCAGCTGAAATTATCCTTTTGCCTTATAAAGCATATTTAAATTAAATGTGAGTTGGATTTTTATGTATTTTATAAACATTCTTATTTAGTGTAGCAGCTAAACAGTTAGCACTAGCAGACATTGAATAGTAGAGAACAGGTTCGGTAATGTTTTATGCCATAATGTTTTTTCGACACATCTACAGATATATTTATATGAATGTATGTATGTATGTATGTGTGTGTAAATGTGCGTGTATGTAAATATAAATGTGTATGTGTATGTTTATATATATATATATATATATATATATATATATATATATATATATATCTTGTAAAGAATTTTATGTATAATTTTAGATCTATTTATTTGGATTATTCTGTAGTGGAGCGTATCTGCATAAAATATCATTTAAAAAAGACAAGCATAGTTAAATACAACAGACAAAAGATGCAAATAAACAATAATTTATAATTTTCTGAGGAATTAAATAATCACTGGATAATAATAAGGATAATAATAATGACAATAATAATAATAATAATAATAATAATAATAATAACTATTATTTTACTATAGTTCAAAAATATCTAATGTTTAATTAATCTTTGAGCTACTAATGTTTTTTTTTTTTGTGCCCAAATGGCTCAGATTGGCTGCAAATCTGACAGTCTGGCCTTAAAAACTCATGTAAATATTAAGTGTTTACTCTAAGGTTAAAATGTAAAATCACTCCACTATGTTGTTAACTGTCATGTCTGGTCAACTATAATGCCAACTGCATTGCAGATCCTAGCGATGTGACTATTGCGGACTCGCACATGGCTATATTGATGCTGAAACGATATATTTTGCATCCTAAAATCTGTATTTATTTAAAGTTGTAATTGATCTGTTGCAGCGGTAATCAGAATTAATGAATCTATTGGTTAATTAGATTTCATAACTAACATGTTCCACCTAATTTGCATAGGTTTTTTTTTTGTTGATTTAAAAAGTAAAATTAGTGTTATTAAAAGTACTATACCAGCAGTATGTCTATGCAGTAGCAACTACTGGTCAATAATGGAAAAAAATAATAAATTAATTAAAATAAACAATTAAAGAAAATAATAGAATTTTCTTATATATTACTTTAATATATATATATATATATATATATATATATATATATATATATATATATATTAAAGTAATATATAAGAAAATTCTATTATTTTTTATATATATATATATATATATATATATATATATATATATATAATGTTTATATTTATATATGAGCAATTTCATGCAAATGTCAGCCTTGTTTTGAAAATTAGTTTTTTTCCAAAATATTAAAACCCTTTATAATTTTTTTTGTATGCTTGTATTTTACATGACTGTAAAAATACTCACAAATGTCTTTGTCAATTTTATCAAACAGTTATATTTGAATTGTCAAATATAAGTGGCAATTTCACATCTGTCACATCCATAACAGAGAGATGTCACATGCATAACAAAGCTTTTTTCCTAATAAATACAAAAATGTGAAGTAAAATAAAATAAAAATCAATCATTTTTGTTCTGTAGTGAGCCAGCTCTTATCCTTTTGATTGGCATTATTTTCAGGGGCGTTGTGCAGTTTAATTTACAGAATTTCTACAATGTAAGTTGTATACTGTAAACTTGCAGACTTGTTTGGTCACATCCAAAGCACTTGTTTATTTTCCTCATTAAAGTATAACAATGTTTACAGATTGATATTTTTCTCATCCCATAACTCTGTGGTTAGTTGTTTTGGAAAATATAAGCAGATGTCCCAATAAGATGTTAATATTTACTAACTCTGTAAAAAAAAAATTCAGTTTTTACTGGAAATGTCACATTCATAACACTGAAATAGCTTTTATATATATTTCATTCTTTCATTTTCTTCTCGGCTTAGTCCCTTTATTAATCTGGGGTCGCCACAGCGAAATGAACCGCCAACTTATTCATTTTTTTATTTTATTTTTTTTACGCAGCCGATGCCCTTCTGTGAGAAATATGGGAAACCCATCACTGGGAAATATTTTTGAAGTAATATTAAAGTATAATATATATATTTAGGGCTATTTATAGGATAAAGACAGTGTCAATATTTATAAACCCATATAAAATACATTCTACCATGATTGTTTTTGACCGTGAAAGCACTATGGTAAAATAAATTTAAATAGCCATTTCTATTTGAAGTTTTTTTCATCCATCTTTATTTTTTATTTTTTTGACATCAATTTAAGTAAAAATAATTGTTGTTTGACTTATTATTTTGATGGTGAAAATCTATTTGTCTCTCTGTTTGTTTATCTCTACCTGTTCTATATATATGTTTATAAATGAATTTGTGGTGGTTATGTCATCTTATTTGTTCACTTTGTTGATATATTACAATGATCACATTTACAACTTAATAAAAATTAAATTTTTACAGAATATGCATTCAAGGCCATAAACCAGGGTGGTCTGACATCAGTTGCTGTTCGAGGAAAAGACTGTGCGATTGTTGTAACACAGAAAAAAGTCCCAGTAAGTCTGCTGCACACATACCATTATTCACCAAAAACTGATCTAACGGAGAGTTGGCTTTGGACAATGAACAGTTTCAAGGTTTACAGCAGTTTTAAAACTGCTCAAATGTTCAGTTAAAGCGTTTCTACGGTATAAGTAAGGTTTTTTTTAATGTGTTTTTTATGTGTTGTAAAGAAATCTGTAGTTTTGAAACTAGCAAGGAAGAGGGAGTCAGTGATTTATTTTGAATTATTAAGCCTGAAATGTTTACTGTTCCAAAATATTATAAATGTTTCCTAAAATAAAATGTCCGATAAAATGTTCAATGGGGGAAAAGTGTTTTTGTTTTTTTAACGCAGACATTTAAAAATAACTTATTTTAGAGCAGTAATCAGAATACCATGACATTGTGAAACTGTGATACTTTTATTCAAGGTAATCATACCGTCAGAAACTTATCAGCCTTCATCTCCACACTAAAAAAATGAACAATGCCACAAAAAATAAATAGCAATAGTTTAACAGTCATTCAATAATTTTACTGTGGTTTAAATGCACGGAATGATCCCAGATCAGTCTTTTGATGGATCTTAGCTCATTGTTATTGGTGACTTCTTGTAGTGCTGCTGAAATAAGAGGGAATCTGAAGTGTTCTCACATGCACGTTCTTAACCTGATTATGCTTCATAAGCTGACAGTGCACATGGTCGTGTAAACTAGTTAAGTTTCCTTTATTGGAGGCCATTAAATTTATTGTTGTTATTAATATAAGGCTATAAATAGCATAAACTGATCATCACTAGATTTTTGCCTCTAAAATGGCATGGAATGTGTGAACCTGCTTTCTGCTGGTGTATTGAAGAGCATTTGTGGGTATCTGTCTGTCTGTCTATTTATTTATTTATTTATTATATATTCACTGTGCAATTCTGAATCACTGTAATTGCTGAGTATGGTTTTAAGCTAAAAATAACAGTAGATATTTATTAATGAATGGACGGACAGACAGACGCATACATACATACATACATACATACATACATACATACATACATACATACACATATATATATATATATATATATATATATATATATATATATATATATATATACATATATATATATATATATATATATACACACACACACACACACACACATAAACACTATACAGCCTAAAAAGAATGATGAGTGACCATGCATGCTTGCTGAAGTGCAGTAGTTGTGTAACACCATGTCCTAACTATACATGACAAGATTCCAGCGATAAGCAGTTTGGCTGTCTGCACTAAACATGATGCAACACAACAGTAACATTTAAATAAAAGCCATGCATTTAAAAATCAGCTACTGCACTCCCAACGAAGTTGTAAGGGTTATAATCTAATTATTTCATGGTAAACCTATTTACCATGAACAAAAGTACATTGGCTGAGTGACTGGTGTTCTGACTTTTAATTTTCAAAATTGCCTTTAGTAGTTTGACAGTAAATATCACATAAACAGTGTTGGTAGCATTTAATACTGAACAAAGCACATAATTAATACATGAGGTGATAATTATCATTGTAGTTTATACTGTTGTTTTGCCATGATGTTGCTGAAATACAAACTATTTCTAAAATAGAAATTTGTACTTTTTTTTTTGCACATGCTTTTCCAGGACAAGTTGCTGGATTCATCAACCGTCACGCACTTATTCAGAATTACAGAGAACATTGGCTGTGTGATGTCCGGGATGACAGGTACAGATAAATAGTGTGATTAATGTCATGATGTCTACTGCAGTTAATGTGCTCATTAATGTCTTTTGTGTTATTATGTTCAGCTGACAGCCGGTCTCAAGTACAGCGAGCTCGATATGAGGCCGCCAACTGGAAGTACAAGTACGGCTATGAAATTCCTGTTGACATGCTTTGTAAAAGGATCGCTGACATCTCTCAGGTTTATACACAAAATGCGGAGATGAGGCCACTCGGCTGCTGTAAGTGGACGATTTTGCTAAATTATTTAAACACACACACATACACACACACACACTTAATAAAGTGGTAAAGCAGTTTATTATTAAATTAATGACAAATTTATATCAATTTTGTATATTTCAGGGTATTAAAGATGTTTTTTCCTCTTGCTTTTTCCTCTTTCTGTTGGGTCAAAATTTACCTGAACAAGTTAATATTAGGGCTGTCATATGATTAAAAAAATTAACGTAATTAATCACACTTTTTTTGTAATTAATCATGATTATAGAAATAAAAACACAAGCATTTAAGTGCCATTTGAATTTCAAAACAATCAATGCCAACAACAAGCAAAAATGATTTCCATGTTGGATTCTAAGTGGACTAGAAACACACACACACACACACAGCGAGAGAGAGAGACAATGCGCGCAGTACTGTGTCTTTGACAGCTTGCAACTTCAGCTGCCACTTTCACTACAGTACATTTACATGGACACCAATACTCCGCTTTTATGATTAAGATAATACTGAATAAGACTCTACAATGTAAGCAGCGATTTTTGATTACCTTAAAGGATCACTCGAGTCCCGAAATTCGGAGGTTTTTCTTTCCGTTTGCCATGAGGTAGCAAATTCCATTAAAACATTCTGAATGAAAGTATTTAACCCTCTGGGGTCGAAGACCACGTATACGCGTTTTGACCTGTGGTGTCGTCAAACTGTTGAAATGAACTTAAATTACACTTTCAGTTTTGATCGTACAGATAAGAACAATACATCAATTTAATCTGTTATGTGTCTACTTTTTGTTGTGTACACTCACAACAACAACAAACGTGTGTGCTTTTGCAAAATAAGGAAAACAAACAGTGTAGGCATTCTGTCTTTTCTCTCTCCGTGAACTGCTTTTAGAAACGCGTTGGTAAAATGCGCTGAAACCCCGCGAATACAAAACGCACACAGATGAAATGTATTTCTAGAAAGCTTAAAGTGTCTACTTTTAAACGCAACTATGCATGTTGAAAACAAACATTGCTTGATAAAGTAATCGGTATGAAACCAACGCTATGTCTAGTTTCTCAGTCTGATCTCATTAGTTTTAATGCGACCACACCCACAAGGCATTGTTATTACAAGCGTCTGTGGCGCGAGCAGACTGTGGTCAGAAAAACACGTCACTAAAAGGAAAGGAAACTCGGCAAATAGTCAACAAAGATGATGGTTTCTGATATCGATATAAAGCTTGATATGTCTACTTTTGCATTAACCAATTCAAGTCGAAAACAAATTATCTCTTTTTATGTAATCCGTATAAAAGTAAGGACTGTACGGATTCTCCTATATCGCCTCATTACAGCAGCGTGGTCACGCCTCTCAGTAAGCGCGCTTCATATGTAAATCCAGATGTGAAAACAACGAAGGTAAAGGACCAGTGGCAGAGAGAGCTTAAGTAGACAAGAAGTGCTTTGAGTTTGGTCAGTATAATGCGAGTAATGATGGTCTGTGTTATGCCGACAAACTGTTAGATGAAGATGTATCCTTCAACTTCTCAAAAATGTATAAAAACGCTACAAAAGTAGACCAGGATCAAATAATCCTGCGTCTGTGAGTCTCCGCTGATGTCAAGACGAAGGCCAGTTGTTAGAGTGAAAAACTGCCTTTTTCCTGCGCCCCTCCTCATCACAAGATACCTGTCTGCAAGACTACATTTCTAAGTGTCCTTTGTAAGTTTATTCTTTAAATAATTACTGTGAATACTGAAATTTGCTTAGTTATTTTTGTTAATATGGATAAATCATCATTCTTTAAAATAACATTGCTCTAATATGAGATTACAAAACTTACTCAGAATCTTATTATTATAATTCAAACTTTGTATATACTATTCCATATATTTATGATGTATTGTTTTTTTAAACAATTTAAGATTTTTGACATCATTAAGATAATATGTTGCATTTTGGCATGTTTTTTGACTTATTTATAAACTATTTATAGACAAAGTTAAATAAAAAATATACTGGATTTGAAAAATATTGTGTTCCTGGACTTCACTGAGCGTAATAGTTTAATGTATAAAATTGTAAATGAGCTTGACTTTTGATGTCTTAAATAATAATCACAAAAAAACAACATTTCTCAAAATGGATAAATCTTATTTTGCAACTAAACTCTTCATTTACAAAAAACAAAACAAAAAAAGAGGATTTGCTATGTGTAAGTTTAAAAGTTTGCAGAGTTTTATAGAGTGTACTGACTCTCACTAAAGTATCTCAAGTTATTTTGTGTGATTTAATATATTTTAAATAAACTGCAAAGAAAAAAGTAAATAAATTTTCCTCTGATTCCTTCTTGAAACTCTTCCCTCCTAGTCACATACTGTACCTGTCTGATGGCTCATTATGCAGCTCATTATGCAGGTCTTTGTCTTCTCAGGTGTGACTCACTGCATAGTAATGATAGTTCACACCTTCCCGCATAAACCAATTTCACTTAAAAAGTGACTTAGAATTTTTAATTCATTTCATTGTTTTCTGTGAGCAAGTTAACAAGATGATTCTCACATCATTTTGAAGCAAAAACACTAGACTACCAGATCCAGTTCTCAAAAGTCTTGTGCACAAATGTTCTCCTTGTGTTTCATGGTCTTGTTTCAGTGACTTCAAAATTTTAGTTTTTCACTAACCACGCATAAACGTTTCTTTTTCAAAAACACAAACACATACAAACATGCTGCTTGGGTATTATTGTAGCCCAACTTGTGCTGTTTACAGTGTTATCACACTTTAGCCATTCATATGTTTTTAAGATACTGAAAACAACACAAATGTCAGTGCATGTCAAAACTTCTCCAGAGCCCCAAAACACCCACAGACCCCAGAGGGTTAACTGCTGAACTGCAGTTAAAGTATAAAGATAAAAAATAAAACACCGGAAATTGCATGAAACTCTAGAGGAAACGCAGCATAGCCAAATTATGAGACATTAATTGTTTTATACTGAAACTTTTATTCTAAAAGCGGGTCCATGGTCCTATAATAATAATAATAATAATTGCTTACATTTATATAGCACTTTTCTGGGCGCTCAAAGCGCTTTACACATTGGGGGAATCTCCTCATCCACCACCAGTGTGAAGCATCCACCTGGATGACGGGACGGTAGCCATATTGCGCCAGACCGCACCGCACACACACACTAATTGGGTAGAGGAGAAAGAGTGATTAGGCCAATTATGGTATGGGTATTGTTAGGAGGCCATGATGGACAGAGGCCAGTGGGCAGATTTGGCCAGGATGCCGAGGTTAAACCCCCACTCTTTTTCGAAGGACATCCTGGGATTTTTAACGACCACAAAAAGTCAGGACCTCGGTTTAACGTCTCATCTAAAAGAAGGCGCTCACAGAGCAGTATAGAGTCCCTGTCACTATACTGGGGCATTAGGACCCACACAGACCACAGGTTTGGCACCCCCTTCTGGCCTCATTAACAACACTTCCGGCAGCAACCTAGCTTTCCCATGTGGTCTCCCATTCAGGTACTGACCGGGCGCAGCCCTGCTTGGTTTCAGTGGGCGACCATTTGAGAGTTGCAGAGAGTTAACTGCCGGCAAACCAGTTATCCAAATTTCTTTGCACGTTAAACACACGCAGTGCTGGAGCAAGCTGAACTGGCGCTTTAGGTCGCCTTTATGCACTCGTTGTCCCTGAACACACGTCGGACACAATAGGAAATAAATAAAAAAAACTGCAACTGCGTTATTTTTTTTAAGCGTTAAATAATTAAAATTAATCACTTGCGTTACCATGCTAATTTTGACAGCCCTAGTTAATATTTTAAAAAATTTAACACCAATTTTCATAATTTAACTTTTTGTGTGATGGAAATTCAAACATTGTTGGCTGTGTGATGTATCATGTCAATATTGTGAAAAATCTGGTTTGTAAAAATACTGATTTGGTACTGTCAAACTGTGGCAGTGATTTAGTTAAATATATTAATTACTGGTTTAATAACGAAGCAATTTCAGACTGCAAGCATGTAAACAAACTCACAGTTCCCTGTAATAAAAGCTTTTTACAGCTTAAAGTTTAAGAAATCCTTAAAGGTTTAATTAAAGTCCTTGAATTTGGTATGAAATAATAATTTTTAATATTCATTTATTTAGTTCATCATACAGTATTACAGCATATTGGTAATTTATTTTAACGTGTGTTTGTATTAATAATCATAAAAAAATATATTTTAATGTTTATTTTATATATGATTATTAAAATTATTAAATTACAATAAGTTGGTCAAAAAGAGGGATAAGATGGCCTATAAATAGAATAAAATACATACATTAAAATGATATTGACATATAATCTTATCTAAGAATGTTCTGTAGGCTTTCTCAAAGATATTTAAGTTCATTCTTGGAAATGCACATGTACTTTCTCCCAAAAACCTCACCCACTCAATCCACAGTGACTCAGTATTTACAAATATATCTATTCAAGTCATCTGATGAATATTCCTATGTTTCTTCATATTTCTATACTGTATTAAAGAACAAATTATTGCAATATGTGATTTTTTTTTCTTTCCCAGTATCTTGTGTGAGTGTCTGATTTGTGTTTGTGTTTGTCTTCAGGCATGATTGTGATTGGTCTAGATGAGGAGCTCGGCCCGCAAGTGTATAAATGTGATCCTGCAGGCTATTACTGTGGCTTTAAGGCCACGGCTGCAGGTGTAAAGCAGACAGAGGCCACAAGCTTCCTGGAGAAAAAAGTCAAGAAGAAGCTTGACTGGACATTTGAGCAGGCAGTCGAGGTACAGTCCATTAGATAAAGCAGAACACTCAAAATTCAGACATTTCTCTTCACCATTATCTACTGATCTGTGATGCGTTGTGTGAATTAGCATTTTTAAAGCATGTGGTCACACCAGTGTGATCAGTCCAGGCTACTTCCTGAATCGTACAATCACACATGTTAATAATTATTTAATAATTTTAACAATAATTTTTCTAATTAAAATCTAGATGGCACTAAGCCAGAGAAAGACATGCACATGGCTTGTTTTAAATAACCATCAAAACTATATAACATTAATGTTATCATTCATTCATTTTCTTGTCGGCTTAGTCCCTTTATTAATCAGGGGCCTCCACAACGGAATGAACCGCCAACTTATCCAGCAAGTTTTTATGCAGCGGATGCCCTTCCGGCCGCAACCCATCTCTGGGAAACATCCACACACACACATTCACACACACCCTTATACACTCATACACTACGGACAATTTAGCCTACTCTGTTCACATGTACCGCATGTCTTTGGACTGTGGGGGAAACCAGAGCACCCGGAGGAAACCCACGCGAACCCAGGGAGAACATGCAAACTCCATAGAGAAACGTCAACTGAGCCGAGGCTCGACCCAGCGACCTTCTTGCTGTGAGGCGACAGCACTACCTACTGCGCCACTGCTTCTCCCCATTTATGTTATATTTCAGACATTTATTTACACACAAGTACTAGCAAAACATAACATTTACAGTTGGTAACAATCTGTTGTGCTTTATTCACATCAGATAAACACTTTTTAGGTAACAAGAACATATACTCTATCCATCTCCCAGCAGCTTTAGTCGCTTTCATTCATAGATCAAATAAAATAATCATTATTAAGCTCTTTAAATGACAAAATATATGTTTTTACAAATATTTACGATTCTAAAATGTCAAATATCAAAAGTATACACAATACACAAAAGAGCAGATATGCATGTGATACCAATGAAATGCATATTTTTGACCTAGAGAGTTTTTAAACCTGGGGTGCCCAAACTTTTTTTAAATAAAGGCCCAAACACCAAACTTGATAGAGAGATGTGGGCCAATTATATAGCAAACCGAACATATCATATTGAATATTATTAAATTTGCCATGAGTAATTTTCTTATTTATTCGCTAATAGTTAAAAATAACAAGAAAACGTTGCTCTAAATCATATTCACGCCGTATAATTTGTAACATTTTATAATGAACTTATAAGGGTCCATCTGTTAATCCTATGACGGAACTAGCAGTTTGGGTAAGGGTTAAATGCTCATAAGCCTTTTGAACACTTGTGAAAAGAAATATTTTTATTTGTTAAAATTATTTTAGCTTGTTTCCAACTCCGAATTTAATCTGACTTCATTTTATAATGATTTAAGTTTAGTTTCATCCAATTCAAGCTGATCACCTTATAGGTTGTGATTTGGTCTTATTTAGATCGATTAACCTAATAAATCCTTATTTTCAGTTACTGGTTCATCATTTACCCGAAGGCGCTTAGAGCCAGTATGCTGGCCTGTTCCCTCTGCTCATGGACACATTTGATTTAGCCACTAGATTATGTCATACTAAGGGTGCTTTCACACCTACACTTTTGTTTCGGAACGTATCTTGTTTGCCCAGTTAGCGCGGTTCGTTTGGCATATGTGAACAGGGCAATCGCACTTTGTTCCGCGCCAAAGTAATTGCTCCGAGATCGCTTAAATGAGGTGGTCTCGGCTCGATTGAAACGAACCCTGGAGCGGTTCGATTACAGTGAGAAAGCGATCCGATCCGAGCGCGGTTATATCACAGTGTTTTAAGGATACGTAATAGGCATACGGCTATATGAAGAGAGAATTATGATTATGGTGGGAAGTTTCGCAAATCTCCGGATGCCCGCAAATGAGTGATGATCTCCCGGTAATCTCGCGTCTCCCTCCCGGTCCTCAAATAGGCACCGTCGCGCACCCTTCTCACCCCTCCCCACCGCATCTCTCCTCAGACACATCGCGCGCACACCCTGTCAATCACCATCAAACCACCACCTCTCCTGACAGCTTAGCGGGACGCTGCAAAATAAACCCTGACACGCTGACCAATGTAAGGAGAGTTTACTCGCACTTGACTCAGATTAGAAACTTTGCCGTGTAAAAGCGAACCGCTCCAAGAGCAACAATGTAACAATTGTAATCTTTGTTTCGGAACAACTGAATCGATTCACAGGTGTGAAAGCACCCTAAGTCCATGATTGTCAGAAATCAGCAGGTCTCTAATGCGGTGCCTATGCTCCATCCATTGAGCCTGAATGTATGACTAATCCTGGTCGTAGGCCAGGGAAACATCAGCCTAAAACAGTCTACTAGATTTAATTGATTTCAGGAGATAATAGAAACAAGAATTTTACATTTATTTGTCAGGCAAAGATATTCCATTCTAATTCACATACTTAAACAAAATAAGCCAATTCAGATTGTACAACATCAATTACTCAAAGATACATTTAAGTGTTAGAGATTAATACCTGATCATGTAGAAATACATTGTAGCATATACCTCCTGATGCAGAACTCAGACTTATACACTGCAACGGGGTATCCTGGGTACAGAATCCCCAGACACTGCTGCGCCTAAATACTCAAATCACCATAAATTCAAGGAAATAAAAGCTTCGCCAAGAGCCTTGCCTGGTCATGAGTTCATGCGAAGACCATCTTACCTGGAGTGGAGTATCTAGAAAAGATATCATCGAAGTCAAAACCCAAATTAACTGACATAAGGAAGATTGTAAAATATTACAGTGAAAGACCACTTTACCAATCACACAGAGACATTTAAAATGACACAAAACATGAATATAGAGCCACAAGATACATCATATTAACAACTTTGACGTTTTATTTGGAGCTGCTTTGGTGGAAAAGGTAAAGTCCAGGGCAAAGAGGGGGGCTCAGGATGCATGATTGAGACAACCTGAACAACTGGTATTCTAGCTGATCTTCATCTCAGATTAGAAAATGTATTGTTTTAGTGCCTGACAATTCTCTTGTCTCGTGTGGAGTTCCATAACAGTTTTCAAAGTTTAAAATTCTGTAGAGATATAGACATCCTTACAAACTTATTATTACAGTAAAAATATAAACAATCAAATTTTTACCACAATGGAGTTAAATGCTAAAAACATTAGTCGACCTGCGGCTGTCATTTGCAATGCTTTTTGTTATGTGACTTTTTATTTTTATTTTAAAAGGCTGATTCATTTACCAACATTTAATTGAAACATTTAATTTCATTGGAATTTTTTAGCTTAGCAATTAAAAGAATTTAAAAAAGGGTTATTTTTTAATATAAATAATTGATTATCTCTGTCAAAGGCATTTTAGGTTTAGATTTTTAGACTTCTTGGTAATTGCTATTTGTTGTAAACCTTTTTTATTTTAGAAAGTTTATAACATTTTTGCAAATTGTATATGTTTTTGCCATGAAATAGCCAGAGAAGCTGAAATGACTTCTGTGATTCCAATGTCACGGTAAAATACCATGCATAATGTTATTTTCATAATGAATAAAAATAAAGCACAGAACCAAGTGTACCTCTTACTCAATTTTGCCTATTTATAGGGACTATTTGTAAGCCAGCCTTATTGCTTAATATATTTTATTTGGAATAGAGTTTTCTAGATTGGAAAAGCAGCCTATAATTTTGTAATGCAGAAGATATGGAAAAAAGTTGTATGGCGTCAACTGTTAAATTAGCTCAAAATGGGGTTCAAAATTCATTTAAAGGTGGCTTTGAATAGAACCAACTCTTTTCAACCAAACAAACGAGTCTTCCAGCGCTCATTTTAACTGCTGTCTCCACATGGTTGCTTTCCAAAATATAATAAAAACCCTTTAGGCAGGGTAACAAGATCTAGTTTAAGGCAGCAAATTAATAAAATATACTGGCCACCTTTCTTTAAATACAAACTTATTAACAGTTTAATAACTGTCCTAAAACGGAAATGAACACAAAACTCACACATGTGCATTCATACAAGTTGCAGAGAGAAATAAAGGAAGGAAAAGACGAGAAGAGTGAGATGATGTAAAAACACAAAACAAACTTGACTGTATTTGTCATCGGTATACATGGACCGAACTGCAATGTTTGTATCGTGACAGTTCAGGATGAATAAATGTACCATTACACCCTTACTGCACAGTGTTTAGTTTCGAAATGCACAATAGTCACATCTCAATGCAGTGTTTTAGGTTTGTCTCATAAACCAACAATCAATCAATCAATAAATAAATGAATAAAGGTTCTTCCTGAGGCTGCGCTGATACTCCTCTTTTGTTCTTTTTTGCCCTTGGCTGATTTATCAGATCAAATACCTGGTAAATGTAGAATCAACATGGTTTTTCACTCTTAGCCTACATTACACACACACATATATCCGAGGATGGCCACTGTAATTTGATGCACAACTAAACCAAGATATTTGCATTTGTACTCTGCGTCAAAAAATACATTTGAAAGAACCATTGTGTTTTTAATGTGTCTCACTTTCCTCAGAACTAATTTTGTTATCATATTCAACCAAATAGTCACATGGTGGTTTTAGTAGATCTTTGTTGTGTCAGTGTAGAACTAATTCTTTGGAATGGAAAATCAACTTCCTCTTTGCACAATAATGTAGTTAATGAAATTACAGAAGTGTATTGCACATCTGTTCATTTCAAAATCTTTGAAACAAATACAGTTTATATAAGCAGTCTGTTATTTAGAATACTTGCATTTACATTAAAAACATTTAATATCAGATCATTTTGAATAAAATCAACTTTTTGTTGCATTTTACATGTGTTCATCACATTATTTTTGCATTATACATGTTGTGTATAAAGGTCAGAAGAGTGAGGTTTACCTGCATAGCACTTCGCTAGCAGGCCTGTTACTCTGCTGCACATGTTCTGGACATGTCCAAAGCTTTACATGTAACGCATTAGTATTTTGAGACCTTTTCTGAGGCATTTGGGGTGGAAATTGAGACATCACCATTTACACGTTGTTTGGGGTTGCCCCTGAGAGCGCTTCTCCCAACACAAGACAAATTAAAATGTTAGCCTTTGGTACTCTTCCGGCTAGAAGACTGATATTGTTTAAATGGAAAGACCTAATTCAACCAACACACAATCACTGGATAAGAGAAGTGATGTCTCATCTTATGTTGGAGAAAACAAGGCATGCTATCAGAGGGTTTAGACATTTTATAAGGTCTGGCAACCTTTAAACTCTTGCGATGGAAATAGATGCACACAACATGACAATGTGAGAAAAAGAATCGTGTCATATTTCCATGTCATGTTTTCATATTTTATTTCTTATTTCTATTTTGTTATATGTTGTTCTTAGATCTGTTTTTTTTCTTCTTCTTCTTTTTTTTTTGCTCTGTATAACATGAAAAACAAATAAAATAAACTTGAACAAAAATAAAATATTGTTATTTTGAACTAGTTTTCTCCTACAGAAAATGTAATTTGGTCAAAATACCAAATGTTTAAATGGTTTTGATTGGCAGGTGTTATTCCACCAAATACTGATTTCTTAACTCTTCTGCCATCAAATAGTATTATTTATTGTCAATAATATTGTGAGAAAATGAATATAATTGTATCTCAAAAATGTCGCCTTTTGTTATTTTGTGCTGAAAAAAATCTTTTATCTTGAATTTTGAAGAAATGGCATCAAAAGTCTACAGAATAAAACTAAAGTAGTGCTTAAAATCACAAAACTATAAATCTTGAGCTCATAACTTGCAAAGTACTAATAATTAATAATTTTTTAACTTGCCAAACCTAATTGCAAAGTGTAACCAGAACTTGCTCTTTTTTATATTTACCATAAAGCAGATTTGCACTAATAAAATCTTTTCATCCCCTAGACGGCGATCACTTGTTTAACAACTGTTCTGTCGATTGATTTCAAGCCATCGGAGCTGGAAATAGGCGTCATTACAGCAGAGGATCCGAAATTCAGGTGGGCAGCAAAAAACATTTTTCATCATCCAGAAAATCAAATCTAGAAGAGCAGCGGATTACTGCAGTTTTGATATTCATCAGTGATGCAACACTCCTCATAACACACACTGATCACATAGAGTCATCCCTAAAATCATTCAGATGTTTCTCTTTAGCACAGTTTTTTTGCTGACACTACATGACCCTAACTCATCTTGATGACATCAGATCACTTTGATAGAAAGGTGCAGTATGTAATTGATTACAGTCCATGGTTTCCGCTTCCATTGTGGGGCGCTACGCCAAAATTGATCCCGCCACGGCTACATTATAGCTTTTTATTCAAAACATTCAGTCGTGTTTCTTTTATATAGCAGGTAATAATTGCACCAAAATGTATTAAAAGGTAAGCGAATTGTAACAGAGCAAACTTTTCTGTAACCGTAGTAGTGCTGTGTGTTATTTGTTTAACCCTTTAAGGCTACGTGCTGACTGGCTGACTGACAGGTGCATGATGTGTGAGGCCAGCAAACACGACGTATAGCCGTTTGACTTTACTACAGGACACATTAATACCGCTTTGTAGGTCTATTAGAGACATTATTAAATATTCCTAGCAAATCTCATACATGTTTTAGACATACTGGTTACATAAATGCACTAAATCGCACTTCATCGTTTATTTGAGAGCGCACAAGAAGATCTGCGCTTGAGCATCGTATATTTAAGGGGGCGTGCAAGAAGTTTTGTGCACTAGCAGAGGAAATCAGCGCACAAGCAAAGAGATCCGTGTGCTCGTAGGCTATTACATAAATGCTATCTCAACTTCTAATACTGCGCTCACGATATTTGTCATTAAAATAACGGCACAGGAAGTTGTTGGATCTGCCGCCACAGCTGGAAAAAATCCTAGAGGAAACACTGCAGTCATTACAGTTACGATGGCTGTGTCCAAAATCACCTTCCACTCAGTATGTACTGCATTTGAATTTGAATGTATTATTCGACAGTTAGAAAAGTACGTTCTGTACAGTATGAATATTAGTAGTATTAATGCAACTCGGACGTACAACATTTACCATTTTGCCATGATCACATTACTAGTGGCGTAGCAGATGTGACCGGGGGCCCCGCGTCAATCCCCCGATCAATCTGTTTCAGATCGCATCACCACCCTGTTGTTTTTTAGTCCAATGTTTAATATGTTACTTTATAGTTTAGTTAAGAGATTTTTTTTATTACTCTCGCATGTGTGCAATTGTTTTGTGTTTGAGCCTGAGATTCACTGACCAGTCGAGTGTTTGAAATAGCTAATTTTTGTAACCAGGCATGGTTTAATATCACAGAATGAAGAATAAATCTTGGCCATTCTTTATGGCAGATTTTCACGGGGCTTCAGCATCAATGCTTCCCATTCAAATCGGTGATGTGAAGCACAAGCGCCAATGAAAGTGTCAGCCAATCAGATTGCTTTATGAAAATATTCCAGCTCCGACAGTAGCTGGTTGTGGATTAAATTCATTGGCCAAAGCTACTATGACGATCCTCCGCCCCACTTCCTGAAATGGCGTTTCATCTAGCATTTCTGAAAAGATCACCGTCCACACTATACTGCTAAAATTGATCATCACGTGACCGACCACCCCCATACACACATAGGCATGCGAAGCAGCATATGCGCACGTCTAAGCTCCAGGCAGTCAGCGGGTGCTTTAATCACAAAACCCCAGAGACCAGTGCATGTCGGACAACTTATCAAGGATGTACCACTGGATCGTGTCTCATTATAGTTGTTAAATGTGATATTTAATTAATCTTGTCTCTATCTAATTACTCTTCTGTCTTTTGAATCTATCAGGTAACGTGTCACAGCTTCAGTACACTACTTCATTCTATTGCTTTCACACTTAGGAATTTTAGTGGAAACCTCAGAAACTGTTGGTTGTGCACCTTTTTTATCTACCAAGTTTGTCAACGCCATTATAACGACACTTACTCTACCAATTCATGCCAGAGTTCCACAGAAAAAGTGATTGACTGGTGGTAATTTGTGTGTAACTTATCTTTGTTTATTTATGATTTGGTTATGGGTAAAACAAAGACCATGCGGGTGAGGCTACAAATAATTAATTTGTGATGAATGAATTATTTATAAATAATTTATTCCACTGCCACCTACGGCATTGATGCCATCGTCCATCTTGATATTTCACATTAGACATCGAAAGATACCAAATTGGTTGACATAGCCCCACCCTTTAAAATACCTAATGACAGCTTGAAGAACACATAATCCATACACAAACACATTTGTTAATGTGTGAAGCCGCTGAAATGAGTGCTTGTCTTTCAGGATCCTATCAGAGTCAGAGGTGGACACTCATCTGGTGTCTCTGTCCGAGAGGGACTGAAGTCTCCTGCTGTTTTCTTGTAAATTTCCTGTTCCATTAAAGACATTTGAAAAAAAAAAAAGACATGTGCTTTCTCTTTTTTTCATATATGTTAATGTTAGCGTGGGAAACCCCAGTTTATGTCTTTCATTTTCACTAAGTTCTGAGCTTTTCGTAGGTTTGATAACTGGAAAATTGTTAACAAACCTGCTTTTGGTTTCGTAGAATTTTTGTGAACTTTGAGCATCTTTATGTGTTGTGCAAGGTAAATATTGTGGACTATGATTGTGTTTATTCACACTCATGTCGATTGGACTCTCTTATACTCAGCAAATTTGCAGTGTGATTTAAATTAAGACAAAACTTTTTGTTTAGCCATTACTATGGAATGGTGGAAACATTTTCTATGGGAAATTCGAGGACATTCTTTGGCAATGCTTTACGGATAATCAGGAAATAACAATAAACAATATATTAAAAGGATATTTTAAGCATAATGAAATGTACTCGCCATTTCCTCATACTCCACTTGTTCTAAACATGTTTGAGTTTTGTGGTAAAGAATAAAAACTGCAGCTATGCAATTTATTATTTTCACTATGGATGCTTATGGATGCTTTCCCCCCACATTCTTCATTTTCCTTGTTTTGAGTTTAGTGGTTGAAAGAAATTCATAAATATTTTCAACCACTTTAGTGAGAGTATTATCTTTTTTTTATTATCTTTTTGAGTGAACTGTGCTTTTAACATACAACCTGGTCTGGAAGATGTTGAGTTCTGAGTTTACTGACATCCTGATGCCTTTATCTGTAAAGCAAAGGTTTATCAGATCAGGATTATCACGTTCTGATAAATGCTTTGACTAAGTTTTATCGCCTTTAGAAAATGTTTCCAGGATCATATGACTTTTTTTCCAAAGAAAAATAGTTTTTTAGATTAATGTTTTGTTTTTGTATGAAATAGAAAAATGGTGTCATGTTTTTAGTAATTATTTTTTAGAACATACTAATGTTGTAACTAAGAAATCGGTTTGATGGAATGAAACCTCAGCATTATCATTTTTTGAAAAAAGAAATGACTATGCCTTTTTGTAAGAAATGTTAACAGAACTTTCTTAATGTTAATATAAAACAAACATTAATATTTTAACCGTACATGTTTTTTTTTTATCAAATTCAAAAAAACGCAGAGCTTATATATACAGTGAGAGTAAAAAGTATTTGATCCCTTGCTGATTTTGTTGGTTTGCCCACTAATAAAGACATGATCATTCTGTCCTTTTAATGGTAAATGTATTCTAACATGGAGAGACAGAATATCAAAAAGAAAATCCAGAAAATAACTTTAAAGAAAATATTTTAATTCATTTGTATTTCATTGAAGGAAATAAGTATTTGATCCCTCTAGCCAAAAGCACCTAATACTTGGTGGCACAGCCTTTGTTTGCAAGCACAGAGGACAGACGTTTGTTGTACTTAACCACAAGGTTAGCACACATATCAGGGGGAATTTTGGCCCACTCTTCTTTGCAGATCCTCTCTAAATCTTTAAGGTTGGTGGGCTGTCGCTTGGCAACTCGGACCTTCAGATCCCTCCATAGATTTTCGATTGGAGACTGGCTGGGCCACTCCATGACCTTAATGTGGTTCTTCTTGAGCCACTCCTTTGTTGCCTTTGCTGTATGCTTCGGGTCGTTGTCATGTTGGAAGACCCAACCACGGCCCATTTTCAACTTCCTGGCAGAGGGGAGGAGGTTGTCCCTTAGGACTGCACAGTACATGGCTCCATCCATCTTCCCACTGATTCCCTTGGCAGAGAAACAACCCCAAAACATAATGCTTCCACCTCCATGCTTGCTGGTGGGTACAGTGTTCCTGGGGTCATAGGCAGTATTTTTCTTCCTCCACACATGATGAGTAGAGTTTAGGCCAAATAGTTCAATTTTGGTCTCGTCTGACCACAGAACCTTCTCCCAATCACTTTGTACATCTTTGAGGTGATCATTGGCATACTTTAGGCGGGCCTTCACATGTGCCTTCTTAAGCAGGGGTACCTTTCGGGCACTGCAGGATTTTAATCCATTGCGGCGCAAAGTGTTGGTAATTGTTTTCCTGGTGACTGTGGTCCCAGCTGCCTTGAGGTCATTCACTAACTCCCGCTGTGTGGTTGCAGGCCGATTTCTCACAGTTCTCATGATCATTGCCACCCCACGAGGTGAAATCTTCTGTGGGGCACCAGACCGAGGTCTATTGATGGTCAGGTTATACTTCTTAAATTTTCTCACAACTGCACCAATGGTTGTTACTTTAATACCCAGCATCTTGCTAATGTTTTTGTAGCCCATTCCAGATTTGTGCAGGTCAACAATCTTGTCTCTGAGGTCCCGAGAGAGTTCTTTGGTCTTACCCATGTTGGAGAGTTTGGAATCTGTCTGATTGTCTGATTCTGTGAACAGGTGTCTTTCACACAGGTGATTAGTTAGAACAGGTCTCTTTAATTCAGGTAACAAGTTAATTGGGAGTGTCTAACTGGTCTGTGAAAGCCAGAACTCCTAATGCATACTAGGGGATCAAATACTTATTTGCCCCAATGAAATACAAATCAATTAATATATATTCTTTAAAGTTATTTTCTGGATTTTCTTTTTGATATTCTGTCTCTCCATGCTAGAATACATCTACCATTAAAAGTATAGAATGATCATGTCTTTATTAGTGGGCAAACCAACAAAATCAGCAAGGGATCAAATACTTTTTACTCTCACTATATATATATATATATTTATTTATATATATATATATATATATATTTATTTATTTATTTATATATATATATATATATATATATATTTATTTATTTATATATATATATATATATATATATATATATATATATTTATTTATTTATTTATATATATTTAGGACGTTTTAATCCTAACGGGATTAGGAAGTTTTAATGCCTTTAAAGGGCATTAATTTTCTCATGATTTATCAACTTTTAATACCCCATGCACACACTGATTATATTTTACTAGTTATTTAATAAGATGCTATTATTCAGTTTAAAGTGCAATTAAAAGACTTAACTAGGTGAGTTATCTTAATTAGGCATTAAACAATGTTTTGTTCTGTACCCAATCAGAAAAAAAAAACTTCAGGGAAAATACGATTAAAAGAAATACAATTTTCCACATAAGAAAAAATATAGGGGAAACAACTATGAAGTTTTTCCTTCATCACTTGGGAAATATTTAAATATATATATATATTGTACAAGAAAGCCAATAACTATTTCTTCAGATGTACGTATACATGTTGGAATTCACCAAGTCATCATGTGACCAATAATGAGGATGATCATCATACACATGCATGTGATACAGATTTTGTTTCCCAGTAGTTTAAATAGCCTGTTAGTCATTGTCAAGAGAACAAAGAGATGGAATTTCCCTACGATTCACAAATCCTGCTTTATTCATCATGATTAATACTTTTAAAACAATGCGAGCGATGACTTAAAATCTGAATAATCGATTTGAATGATCCATAAATTACTCTGAGCCCCTTTACAGATGATCACATTATAATCACACCGTCAGCGGTGGTCTACTCATTTCTCTCAATTTGTGGGGAACTTTCTATACTGAGTCAGTTCTTCATGACTCCACTTTAGCAGACCCAAGGAATTTTACTCAAACTACAGTGACGCATCAGCCTGACTCACGCTTTCCAGAAAGGAAATGATGGCTTTTACTGTACACATGTAGGACTTTTTTTTTACTGACTGAACCAACATCACAACCTTCTGCTGCTTTTCCACCCCTTCAGGGCTTTTTTGCGCGAGTTTCACAATTCTGTAGATTTCCAGGAAATCAGTCAACACAAGAAACACTCAAAGCCTCAGAATTCACTTCTCATCTTTTAGTTTTTAATGTTAACAAAACAAATTTTCACTGTGCAATATATATTTATATAGAGACTATACACATTATTAACAAGTGTTCTTCATTGGACATATTTACACATATAAAAATAGATATCTCTGGTTATTTACAAAATATACACATTTTCACAACTCTTTGGTAAAGTCTTTTTTTTTGGTCCATGCAGTTCATCCGTGTTTAACAGTACCACCGCTGTCGGCCCCAGGACGAGGCAGCATGTATCCATCTCTTGGAGCTCCAAAAATGGATTGGCGTCCCAGGACTCGACACAGGCATTGAGCACCTACAGCTGCTTTACATTGTGGGCAATGTAGTCTTAATTTCCAAACTATCTCCCACAGAGCCGGATGTCATCATAAATCTATATTTAAAAACAGAACAGAATTATTAATTAAATGATGCACTTTCCTCAGTTAGTAAAACAAATATCAAACACAAAGTATGTTTTTTTTGTAATATGATAAAACTTACACAATCGTCCTCAGACATGAGCTCATCTTCGCTCTCCTCCGATTCGCTCTCTGGCATGACTGTGAATTTAAGGGCTGTCCGGCTGTAAAGCTGCCTCTGGATCTCGCTGTTGTGTCTGCCGAAGGTCAGGTGGTACGCTGTGTATCCGCCGTAGGTTAAACTATTGGCATCGGCTCCCAGAGCTATGAGTGTGTGCACCAGATCCAGGTTCTGCAGGTCTACGGCCAAATGGAGCGACGTACGGCCACTACACTGCTCCTGAACACATAGAAAACAACGTCAGTTAGAAGTGTTTAATGAAGCTTAATAACAAGCTCGTACATATATTTAAAAAAATTTAATGGAAATGAACTCATTTGAAAGTTAATCAACTGCGAACTAGATTGTCAAAAAATTTAACAGTATTTTATTTATTAAGTTTCAAAAGTTTTCCTAAATTAAAGTGTTAACAAATTGTCAAATATACCGTACCTTTGCGTCTACATCTGCCCCAAGCTGGACCAGACTCTCCACCATGGACAGGTAATTATTAATGGCTGCTATATGAAGGCACGTGTGTCCTGTGATAAAAAAAAAGGAACATAAAATACATCAAAACCTGCACTTTAAAACTGCAAACTCAAATATTCTGACTTTCAGATGTGACTGAACTCACCGCTGTAGTTAGGGAAGGTAAGAATGGAACGCAGGTGCTGGGTCTGAATCTGAGTGAGGACTGAGAAACACGCCAGCGAGCCTTGTTTGCAGGCGAGGTGCAGGGCTGTGTTTCCGCTCTGATCAACAAGCTGAGGGTCGCAGCCGGCTTTCAGGAGTCTTTCCACCATTTGTGGCTGTTCTGTGACAACGGCCAGATGCAGAGCAGTCTGAGGACAGAAAAGTGGACTTTTGTTGGTCAGGTCTTAGGGGTGAGTGTGACATTTAACTTTTGGTAGCACTTTACATTATATTCTTGTTTAATTTGTGCAGTATTGTAGTCATTACATAAACCAGGTATGTAGTAAGTATTATCCCGAAATATACTCAGTGTATGCATATAATCACCCTGTTATAATGCAGTACTTATTATGTACCATTATGAACACTAACAACAATTGTATTTTATTAAAAGTGTAGTGAATATTTTGTTTGTGGCACATTGACTACTAATAGTGAATTGTACTTTTATTTTTCATTGATTTACCTGTCTCTGGTTGTTCTGTCTGTTCAGGTACGGGTCGTTCTGGCACTGTTTGATGATCTGCACGGCATAATCCTCTGCCTCGTGAATGATGGCAAGGTGCAGATACCTGGAAAATCATGTAGGAGGCAGAGAATATTTTAAGATCACACTCAGAGGATGTGGTTGAGCAGACACACAGTACACGCAGGCGGCGTTTCGCAAGAATGGAGTTTTGAAGGTTATTTCCAGCCAGTGTGGCTCCACACATCTGATACAGTATCTGCGCCTGGCCGCGCGCCAGGGACTTTCCTGCCTGCGCACTTTGTTTTCTTAAACTCCGCCCAGTTTGGGTGCGTTCCAAATCTTGTTTGTTTACTTCCGCACTTTATACTTTGTAAGTTTTAGAAAAAGTTTCGTAACTTAGATAAGTAATTGATTCTTTTTAGCTGTTAAAAGTTAAAGTTAGTATGCTAATGTTAAAAACATTTAAAATATCTTGCTTTTTAAATCAGAAATTAACTTTGTTGCATTTAATGAAGTTAAAAATGCAAGGCAACTCCCAAAACTGCATCAAGGCAAGCAAGACACTGCAGGCAAATACAGAATAGGCTGTTTTGCAATGCATTGATTGCATTTTTGTATTGCAAGTTTTTAAAATATGATGCTTAAATATGCAAGTACAAAATATTTAATTATAAATGCACAAATTATAGTACAAATAATTAAGTTGACATAAATATACAAAATAAATACAAGTTTACATATTTGCTTTTTAATATGTTGAACTACATTAAAGCTGCATGAAAAAAACTGGTTTTGCGTCACCTCGAATTGACAAACTGAAATACTTGCAAAATTGCATTGCATATTTTAAAATCTTAAAATAATAATAATAAAACTTACGTGTCTCCGTCCTCGGTGACTACTTTAGCCCAAGGCTCGCATATTGTCTCCTTCAGGCTTGCTATAGTCAATTTCTCCATCTCCTCCGAAATCTCCCGCGTCTCATATTCCTCTTCTTTTAGCGAGTCCACGCCGCTGTCGACGCGATCCTCGCACTGCTGCGTTTTCCTGTTTTTCGTGTCCATTTCATCAACATTACAATCCACAAAGTTCAGCATTGCGGCTCTGTGTAAATCCATGTTCTCTCTTCGGTTGTCAGTGAACAAGTGAAGCCCGAGAGAGGCGGGACTCGCTTTATATCTGCGCCTGCGGTTACGCGGGGGATTTCCGAATACTTTTTATATCTTAACTCTAGCCCTAAAGGGGAACTCATCGCGGGCTTTTATTTAGAGAATTTCCCTCAAGATGACTCCGCGAAGTAAGAATGAAAATCTGTATTTTCCTATTACACATGTACGAATGTACCCAGGAGTCCACAGTCAGGTGTAAAATGAATGACAGTAGCTGTGGAGTGGCTTATGAATGAGACGCACGAGAAGGGCACTATTAATAATGCGGGAAACATTTTTGCGTTCACCTAGAAATAGCACTTGATGTCAGATTGTTTATTTATTCATTTTTTATTCATTTTTGGCATGATGACTAAAAATAAATGAGTATTTTTAGAAAATAGTCAATTGTGATTAATAAAAAAATACATCAATATAACATTTTAAAAAGGCAAAGCATTTTGCAAGATGTGAAAGATACAAGTGGAGATTTGGTGATGGGCTAATAAAGTGGAACATGTAGTTTATGAACTGATACTCTAGTTGGTGTTGTGTGGGAATTTACTGGGGAATTGACTGTATTTATCCACCGAAAATCACCTTGACACACATTTTGTGTTTGAGAGCACTGCTGGACTTTCTTGAGCAGATGAAAGGAATGCAGATTTTTAGATCAAGGTGGTGCTTGGAGATCAGTTTCCTCCATGCATGTAGTTTAATAAAGTTATTTATTACTTTTTTGTAATCTTCAAACCATTTTCTGAGCTGTTAAATGTAAACTCTTTATGTGTGAGATAAAATAATGATTTTGAGATATTGTTTTTGATATTTTGCAATTGGGACTTATTTCTAGGAATTTTGGGTTTTACATTTTGGAATATTTTTCCTAATTTATTTATTTATTTTTATTATTTTTTATTTTTATTTATTTATTTATTTATTTTTATTTTTTTTTAATTTTAAATTTACATCTTGAAATTCTCCCTTTTCCTCAGTTTATAAATTGCAAGAATCAGGGATGAGAAAAATACATTGATATGTATTTTAAATTAAAATACCAAATACATCAATGTTAGATTTATCAAAATAAAATACAGCAGCCACAACATGTTTCCAAATAAAATACTGTATTTTGAAAATTCTATAAAATACTTTTACATGAGAGTATAACATTTCTTTGCAAAATCAGTATTCAATCAATCTCTTGACCATTTAAATGACTTGGTGAAGTAAACAATGCTTGATAACAACAGTATGTTTTAGTCACTAAACTTATTTTATGTTGTTTGTCTTATTTTCTTGGCATCTACATCAGCAAATCATCCAAAACGTCTATTATATGTGCAGTTTATGCATTCTCCCAAGATTTTTTTTAGTTCTCTTTTAACTGAAAAAGTCTCAGTTTACCCCTTTAGGGAACACCAGTACTCCATCTTTAGGTGTTTTATTATTCGAAAGTTTATTTGAATTTTCACATGCAGGACTGGGACTGAGAATGATTAAGTGCTAAAGGCTCCATATCCTGCCGTTAAAGAATTTTATTCCATCTCATTTCTTGAGCAAAGATGCATAATTTCCATCCATACAAACAATGTCCACCTTTGTAATCAATTTTCTCTTCTGACCTCAAGCTTAGGCAAATAACTGAGAAAGCATCAGTCTGAGGCTGCATTTTATGATGTGATCATGTAGACTTTTTGAATAAAAAAAAAAATGCATAAACCTATTTAATACAAATAAAAAAGTTTATTCTGTATTTAAAATACATTGTAGAAAAAATCCATAATTTAACATTTTTTATTTCTGGCATGTGGAGTGCTGTAAAAAAACGTAAATTAACGGACGTTGAATTGCGGAAATTTACCAGAAATTTAAATTTAAAGAAATTTCTGTAATTTAATGTCTGTTATTTTACTGTAAATTTCTGTAATTTAACAGCCGTTATTTTACTTTTTTTCTTCCGACACCCCAACTGCCAGAATAAAATTGTAAAGTTATGTTTTTTTTATTTTATTTATTTATTTATTTTTTTGTATTTGAAAAACTTGTTTCATAAATACTGCCCAACCCTGCCAGGAGTCACAATTGCAAAGTTTAAAATAAAAATAGCCATAATTGTGAAATAAAAAAAATACTTTACGTTTTTACTTTTTTTTTTTTTTTGTCGGAAACAAATAGATTTTTTCACGATTTGAACATTTAAATCCTGCCTTTTCAAACACATGCTTGAATCTAATTCCCCCAAAAATTCTAATTTCTGAGATCTTATGAATAGGAACGGGGTAAAACTGGCTGAGTCAGTTCAATGTGACTGAAGTGAAACGTCCCACATGGAAGCCCCCACATTGTTCCGCAAGTTTAGGGGGGATCCACAATATTGCCCTGCACTTTTGAACAGGAGTCCCCCTTAAAATATGAAATTTTTCACAATTTTTTTTTTTTTTTTTTTTTTTTACAATTTCCATAACACCTCTCTTTACTCGCACTTAATTCAATTCATGTTTATTTCTATACTAAAACTGCTTTTACTATGTAGATTGTGTCAAAGCAGCCTAAGAACTTTTAGTAAATTAAAACTGCTTCAGTCCAGTTTTTAGAGTTGAAGATCAGCTTACTTCAGTTGTGTGGTCTAATTTTCACTGCTAAAAATTCAAACACTGAAGAGCAAATCCATCGATTCACAGCTCAAGTCACAAACCAAGCAAGCCATTGGCGACAGTGGCGTGGAACAAACTTCACCAATTGCTTCTAAACCAGAGATGCCCAAACTCCCATACAATTAATTTGGCCCCCCATGTCATCTGAGCAGGCCCGGATGGGCTAATCAGGAGGACTGGGAGACTTCCCGGTGTCCTTAGCTGCTTGCACTCTCAGCAGTTGCACTTCCTTCCTTCCTTCCTTCCTTCCTTCCTTCCTTCCTTCCTTCCTTCCTTCATTCATTCATTCATTCATTCATTCATTCATTCATTCATTCATTTGCAGCAGCTCCACTCTTTTTATTTATTTTTTTCGCAGCCCAGTGAGCAAAATGCAGCCAGTAGGTTAATAATGACGTAACTATCATTCGACCCCAAACAGCGGTACTTTGGAGAATATAAGAATTCAAATAACAAACATTGATGAGTATTACACCTGTTCAATTAAAATCAGATGATTCGCTACATTAATAAAGATCAGAAATCTAAGAAAAAAAGATTAAGCAATCAATAGAAAGTATTACTGTAGTTAAGAGTCTTGCAGATAACAGTGCAAAACATTTTTTTTATTCCAAGCACACCAGGATAACAGTGCCATTGTGGTCCAGTGGTCAGCACGTTGGGTCATGAGGTTTGAACCTCACCTGAGTCATTTTTTATTAGATTTTTTTTTTGTGTGTGTGTCATATAATATTGTTTGGGTTACCTATATAGGTTTACATGTTTTATTTCTTTTCGTGTGACCACCATTACAGGACTAGATATCATTAAAGAATTTTGCACAGAATATTTAATGTAGGAAAGGACATTGTGATGTTTTAAAGAATATAGTGTTGGAGATTTAGCTACCCTTTACTGTTCTCATATTTATAAAAAAAAAACAAAAAAAAAAACATTTGAAATTCTAAAGCAGCTGTTTCCTTGAAAAGGACGTGATAGTGTCATTAGAAACTAAATTGGAAATGATGTTATTTTATTATAGTCAGTCGTGAACTGAGGTGGGCCATTCTAAGGCTTGAAACTCCAGGGCTGAAAAGGAGTCCCACTATGGCCCTGCATCTGAGAATGGTTTAGAGATTGTAAATTCAAATCTAATGTAAACTTATACTTGTTTTATAGTGAAGCTATCTGAAATTAAATGCTTTGATGTAAATGGTGTAAACTAATCAGATTTAGTTTAAAATGTACATACAATGAAGAGAGCACAATGCAGAGACTTTATTGAGCGAACCAAGCCAGATTCTGCTTGACTAGTGTATTCAGCATTGAACGCCACTGTGTTATAAATGTGATTGTTTTTATTGCAGTAAGTTGAGTTATAAAAGTTATACTGCATTAATACGATTCAAAGTAATGTCTTCTATGTATTTTTTTAATATTATGACAATAATTAGGAAATTACTTATGGCGATTTATTGTTAAATTGTTTGTTATATTTATCTTTGGCCCACGGATATCAGTGATATTTAGTTTATGGCCCATCATATGAAAAAGTTTGGGCACCGCTGAACACAAAACAAGATTTTCTGATCCCTTGGTGCTCCCAGTACTCTGGAAAAAAAAACAATTAGATGTTACTTTACTTTAAAAAAATTAAATAAATTTTATCTTAAATTGATCAAGTAAATGAACAATGTGCCAAATTTAAAAATTAAGTTAAGTGTACTTAAAGAAATTTTTTTATTTTTTCAAGTAAAATCCACTTGTCTCTTTTAAGTCAATGGGTTTATTCACATTTTAAGTGTAATTGCTTTTTACAGTTTCGGAGCAAAACATGGAAGTCCAGGGTTGTTTTCTCCAACATTCTTCAGAATATCTTCCTTCGTATTTACCAGAAGAAACTCAAACAGGTTTGGAAAAAGTGGAGGATGACTAAATGATGACAGAATTTTCAGTTTTGGGTGAACTACACCTTTAAACAGCCTATAATGCAACTCAAAGCAAAGAAAAAAAACATGCAACCAATCAACTGAAACTAATTTTGCATGCTAGCAAATATGCATTCAGAAGACTTGTTTGCATGGTTTCATATCCACCCCTTCAACCCAAGCAAGTCAGGTGGACGGGTCATGTAATTAAAGAAATGATGGAAACTCCAAAAATATAACATTTAACTTGTGTGATACCTTCTACAACACCTTCCCTCACCTGAAATTTGCACTGCTTCTGTTTGCATAAAGGAGGAGCCAAAACAATAGCAACCGTTTCTACCAACAGCTATTATGTCACAACAGCGATACCAACTCTGTGCGTCAAAAAGTGTGTCAAAGACTTGCCTTGAACCAACATGCATGCTTTGTCATGTACTCGAAA